GTGTGTGCCAAACGATTTTTGAGGAGTCTCACTGGCACTATAAATGATTAGACTCACACATCCCATTGAAACGGACTAAAATAGAGGATTTCTGATTCCGCTTCGGGATCAGTTCATCCGCCATTCAGGAGGAACTTCCTCTGAGTATAACGGTAATTTCAGGATGCCGGTACGTACAAAAGTGAACGAGTCATTATCGGTAGGCAAGGCATGGAAATCGATGTTCAGAAAAGTGATAAGAAATTATTGAACTTCTGCGCTAACAACTATCTAGGTAAGTAAATTTGACCGTTGTGTTCGTTTGCTCTACATTTCATCATTGATCACTTCATGCACAAAACTGATCGTTTCATGCATTCGCAATTTAAAGTTTAATTTTTAATCGTTTATGCAATTAGTCATCGCAATTCAACAGTCATAATCAAAGCGATAAAAGGCACAAACTCAATAACGTTTGTTGAGTTGTTGTTGTGATATTGAGATGCTTAATTGCCGCGAGTTTATTGTTAACGACAATATCGCTCTGATAACGCTTGTCGTTTTCTATTGCTGAAGCTACGAAAAGCTATGTAAACAAGCACTTGAATTCAACACAGCATTCGAATTGTTACACTGCTTATGCGATCATTGAGCTCTTATCGATATACTGCAAATCATCGAGTTGTTGAATTGTATCAAAGCGACAAAACGCCAAATGAAAGTGAGAAGAGCATTTCAGGACTGAGCAGTCATCCAGAGGTAATCCAAGCGGCCAAAGATGCACTGGATACTCACGGTGCGGGTATGAGCTCTGTACGCTTCATCTGCGGTACTCAAGATATTCACCGAGCACTCGAGCTCAAAATTGCTGAGTTCCACGGTCGCGAGGATTCAATCCTTTATGCGGCATGCTTCGATGCAAATGGCGGTGTTTTCGATGTTGTGACGAGTTCGTTTCGTCATGCTCCTACAAACTTAGCACTTTCATAGAGACAAAACTAAACTCGATTCCAGTCTGAGCAAATTCAGAGTTAAACACTGGCCAGTTCAGTAGTAGCTCAGGAGACAGACTCGAAACAATGAATTTGATCATTTAAGCATTTTGAATGGATTGCTCAGTTTACAATATTGTTAACACCTGACTGTGAGAATGTTGAATGCTTAACACTAGACAGTTCGAGTAGCAAGCACGGAATCAATTTGCTAATGTGCACATGATGCCTAGCTGGGAAAATATTCATATACGAGCAAAATTTCTGACTCAATGCATTAGTATCACAGCGGAATTTGAAGCGTAAAAATATCAAAGCAATGATTTCAGACAAAGAAGATGCAGTTATTTCCGACGAATTGAATCACGCATCGATTATCGATGGTGTTCGTCTGTGCAAAGCAAAACGCTATCGCTACAAGCATTGTGATATGGCTGATCTCGAGAAGATTTTGATCGAAACCAAAGGTGATCAACATCATGCAATTTATCTGTTTTATCCCCCTAGTTTATCGATGTATTTTGGATGATTCCGTCGTTGTTCCAATTTTGGACGTCCATTGCATTTGAATGAGCGTCGCGATTAGCGATTGAAAAAGTATAGCCGTTAATAAAATAGCCTGAAAGTTTGAGCAAGCTTCAGGGATAATTTCTGGTCTCAGCCCCAAACTGTTGAAAAATTGCGACAATTTTGAGAATGCTGTCGATAATCACAATGAGATCATTATTCATAATGTCAATGATTATTAGGATTAGTTTTATCAGTGTTAATAAGTATAATGATGAATGCTGAAGGTGCGCGCCGGCGTTTGATCGCAACAGACGGTGTGTTCAGTATGGACGGTGATGTGGCACCGCTGAAAGAAATCTGCGATTTGGCTGAGAAATACAATGCGATGACATTCATGGATGAATGTCACGCAACGGGTTTCTTCGGAGCCACGGGACGTGGTACTGAAGAGGTTTTGGGTGTTATGGGACGTATTGATATTATCAATTCAACGTTGGGTAAGGCTCTAGGTGGTGCAATGGGTGGTTATACCACTGGTCCGAAGCCAATCATTGATTTGTTGAGACAGAAGTCAAGACCATATCTCTTCTCGAACTCATTGGCACCATCTATTGTTGGAGCTTCACTTAAGGTTTGTTGCTTCAGTTTGTGTTGAAGGCTGAAAATCCTCTCACCGTTGTCATATTGCTCGTTCGAGATGTTTGTTCTAGATTCTGACTCAACAGAATATCTTTGGAGAACATGACTGATGTTGGCTCATACAACGACTAGTTTGGTGCAAAATTTTTGAGGCAAAATTCAGTCCAGAAATCATTTGAAGTTCATGTTGCAAAATCTGCAAACATCACTTATCTATTGCTCTAGCGATTCTTAATGATCGATTCTGAAGGTACTCGACCTACTGATGGCACCGAACGAATTCACCAGCTCACTCACGTCGAACATCGCACATTTCCGTAAATCATTGACAGATGCTGGCTTCAAAGTGATCGGCAACCCAAGTCATCCAATTTGCCCTGTAATGCTCGGAGACGCAAGGTTCCTTCCTGAGACTTGTTCTGATCACGAGTATCACTTTCGTATTTGACANGGAGACGCAAGGTTCCTTCCTGAGACTTGTTCTGATCACGAGTATCACTTTCGTATTTGACATTTGACATTGATTGCGACATTCCACTGTTGAGCTTATTCTGTTTGAAGAAGCTCAACAGTTGAATGTTGCAATCAATCCAATAACTCTCAGGGATAGTTACTAAAGATTGCAAAGTCGAGTCTCACTGTTTTACTCGATATCTATTAAGATGCAAATATCATTGATGCTAGCGAGTTTGAGTCAACCTATGGCTTTGTTCGCAAGTGAAAGTCACTTCATTTGAAAAGTACACCTGCTAGTTCTTACAACTTACTCATTCAGTGATGGTATATCTTACTGAGCTATCGAAATGTGTCACTCACCAAAAATTGACTCGGTTATACAAAATGAATCGGCTAACTATAAAATGAGTATTTTAACACGATTGACTCTTTGGTTTGTTCAGGCTAGCCGCCACCTTCGCCGATGAGATGCTCAAAGAGGGTATCTACGTCATTGGTTTCAGTTATCCCGTAGTGCCTAAGGGAGCAGCCAGAATTCGTGTACAGGTTGGATTTGCCACTGTTTATGTCACGTATTAGAACAATATTCCGGACGTCTCGTCTGAGGAGAGATTCGCGACTAGCTTATTGAGTGGTCTCTCGCGAAACGTGCCATCAGTACTTCGATAGTGGAAGAAACTGTTTGGCGTACATAAAAGTTTATCAAGCCATCTTCACAAAAGTAGATTGAATTCCGTATGTTATGAGACTACGATTCGAATTTGAATAATATTATCACGTTAATTCGATGCATTGCACATGAATGATTTCGACTTCTTACAGATCTCCGCAGCACATACTCGTGAACACATCGACCGTGCAATCGACGCGTTCATTCGTATCGGCAAAAAACTCAATGTGATCCATTAAAAGAACAATTTGCTGAATTGATGAGCAATTGCATTATTCTCATCAACGATTATGGAAAAATTGAATAATAAAATTTTCTCGGTCATTTCGTGAAGTCGAATGTCGAGCATTTCAAGA